AGAGATAGACAGAAGAGCACAAGCAGAGGGAGTGGCAGAGGGAGATGGAGAAGCAGGCTCTGCACTGAGCAGGGAACCCGACGCGGGACTCGATCCCAGGACCCTGAGATCATGACCTGAGCCGAAGGCAGACGCCCAACCATCTGAGCCACCCAGGCGCCCCAAGAGACAGTCTTTCTTGAAAGAGTATCCATAACCCCAGGGCCTGTACACAGATGAGTCAGAAATGCTTGAATGAGTGATCCGATCCTTCAACGGGACTTGCCTCTAAAGCCCCAGTCAATGTTATTAACGCCATCTGTCATGGCAGTTGAGGGGCCAGCTCCAGTGTCTCCCAGTTCCACCGCGAAGCCACCCACCCAAGGGAGAGGAGCCTCCCAGCTCTAGGATAGTTTGAGGCAGGGCAGTGGGCAAGTAAAGAGAAGGGACCTCCCTGGGAGACAAGTGCCACAGCACCATTTACTGTAACAGGGGAAGAGCCGACCTGCCGTGACATCCATTGGAGGCCTTCCCCGGGTGCTAGAACAGCTAGCCAAGGGCACTGAGGGAGCGATCACCTGCGCACTGATGCCAGGAAGCCAATTTATAGGTTGGCTCCCTCACCACAGGGTGGAGAAGCAGAGACCGTGAACCAGGGGCTGAGAGCGCCAGGCCCCGCCCGCCAGTCCTGACCGACTTTTCCAAACTCTTCTTGAAGCGCGCAGGTGTAACTCACACTGACTCCCTTTTGCAGAGAGGAAATCTGAAGCCCGGGGAGATAAGCCTTTGACTCATGGGCCCCTTCAGAAGTCATGGCCACCCAGATAGCGGACTACCTTTCCCAGCCTTCCTTGGGGTTACATGCGGCCCTGCTGACCAGGTTCTAGCCAATGAGACGTGAGTGGAAGTGACCTCTGTAACTTTGGGGGTTTGCTCACAAATGGCAGAGCTGTGCCCTCCCTTCCTTGTTCTTCCCCTTCCCATTGCCTAGTGAGCCATCTTGGACAACACAGGCAAGAGCAACACCTCAGGATAATGGAGCAGCAACAAGATGGAAAGAGCCCGGGCCCCTCATATCTGGGCACACAATCCCGGGGCCACCGTATCGGCCCTGACCGGCTTAAGCCAGCACTCGCTGTTACGTTTGGAGGGAACAACATAGCCTGTCTTGATGAAGCTCCTTTTACCCCAGCTACCTGCTTATGGCTGCTAAATCCACATCCTCCTGACTCAAAGAACATAGCCCCGGAGTGAGTTTCCTCAGGAAGCCCAGGACCACTGGGACTGCTTGATCCCGGGGGCTCTCATTGTCCCAGGACAACAGAGCTGTGACCTCCACCCCAGGGACCAGCTGTTTTCTTGAAACAGCCGGGGAAGTTGCTCGCTTGGAGGAAGCTGCTAGACTGCCAAGGATGGGAAGGGAAACAGCACAGCTGGGATCCCACCAGGGTAGATACCAGCACACCTGCACTACTGGGTACAATGCTGAAATTCTTCCGGGCCAGCTGATCAGCAGCCACTGCCCTGAGCCACCCCACCCGGGGAATGGCCCCCCTCCCGAGCCATCCAGGCCCCAGACCCAGCAATTAAAGGGGCAACACCTGGCACAGGAAGGGGTCACCAGGACTTCATCCCGACCTTCATCCCAAGCCACACTGCGTGTTAAATATTTTGAACATCACCCCTGGCTATAAGGTGCCTCATCTCCACCAACTGAGTGCAAATGAACCACTGAACTCAGTGTTGACAGTGATAGGGTGACATGAGTTCTAAAAGGTAGAGACCGGCCACTGAATCACCACCTCCACCTCCTTCTCTCTTGTCCCCCAAACCAGAAACGCTTGGCTCCACCCAGGCCTGCCCTCGGCCCTTCAGAATGTCCTACCATCACGCCCAGATATTATTGCACTCTTTTATTTACAGAAAACACAGATGAAGCATTTCAATGTTCATTTAGCGAACTGATCCACTCTTTTTTTTTTTTTTCTTTTTGGCACAAAGAAATATCACAGATGGACCCCAAGATCAATCAGAAACCCTTAAGATTTATCAGCCATCACTGGTCCAGAGGCAGCCACAAGACTCAGACGGACAAACAGACAGCATCGCCACAGACTGGAAAAAAATAAACAAGGTCCACATTCACCTCACAGTAAAAACCTGCTCGCCGGCAGGCAAGGGCAGGCTGGGGTGGGCGTGGCGGGGGGAGAGTGGGGGGCAGGTTCTCTGCTCCAAGGGGGGCAGTGGGCATTGGGGGCAGGAAGCAGGATGGGGAGGGATTAAACACCATTCATAAATTAGAGAGAGGTGACCTTTTTGTTTTTAACCTCTTACCTTGTGGAAGTAAGACAGTGCAAAACTACCATACCCTGACCACTGGGCCACTGGAAATGCTGCAGAAGTTCCATGGTTTGGGGGTACCTCTCCTCGTGGTCGCCCATGTGTGTGCATGTGTGCGTATGTGAATGTGTGAGTGTGGTGCTTGTAAACATTGTCACCATCCACGCAGAGACCCAACAGCCGTGTGTCTGAATGGGATGAGCTGGGGGCTCTACCCCGCTTCATGCCCCCTCCGCCCCAGTGATTCCTGTCCAAGACATAGTGCAAATTTCAGGGACAAAAAGAGGCAGAAGGAAGGGGGGGCGGGGCCTGTTGGGGGTCGGGGGGCAGGAAGGACACAAAGACCGGGCGGGAGAGGGAGGGGGAAATAAGGCAACAGTTAAAAACGGTCCATTTTATCAAAACTGACACCATGTGCCCCTCACCCCCGCCCACGGAGCCCTTGTCACGAGAAAGGGCGGAAGTCCCGCTCCTCCACCAGACTGATGGAGGGGTTCTTGAGCTCCTCCTCCGACGTGGCCATCTTGTAGCCCAGCTGCGCCAGCACCCGCTGGCAAGTGTTCTGGGCGAAGGCCACAATGTCGTAGGAGAGGCGGAAGCGCCACTTCTCGGCCGTGGCCGCCGAGTTTCGCACGGTGCCGTATTTGTGCTTGCCCAAGGTGGGGTCGCCCCGCGTGTTGTTCTGGATCCAGCGGGCCACGTGGCTGTCCAGGGGGATCCCCAGGAAACCGTAGATCTCCTCGGTCTTCTTCATGGGGTTCCTGGCCAGGTCCTCGTAGCGCACCAACATGTACTTGCCCTTGAGCCACGGGGGCCGCATGAGGCCGGTGGACACGGAGTTGGAGAAGTCCTCGCACACCGTGGTCAGCTGCGTCACATCCAGGTTGTAGGGCTTCCTCCCGGTGCCGTACCAGAGGCGCCACAGGCGGTAGGTGTCGCGGAACGTCTCGCTGCGGGAGGCCAGGATGCCGCGCGGGTCTCGGACCAGCTGGATGACCTTGAGGTTTAACCGGGGGTCTTCAACCAGGGCCCGCAGGTCGTTAACCTCGGGCACCCGCACCGTCTTGATGGCCACGTGGCTGCGCTCGCGACAGGCCTCAGCGGCCACCGTCAAGTTCAACAGGCCGCACTTGCGCACGCAGTCCCCCTCCTCCAGCACCAGCTCGGGGGAGCCCGGGGGGTCGCACACGGGGCGGGAGCACAGCACCCTGCTGGCCCCGCGGCGGAAGATCCTGTCGGTGGTGTGGTTGACGGGCGGCGGCTTGATGTAGTTCTCCAAGAAGTAGAGGTCACAGTCATAGAGGCTCCTCAGGAGGTCGCGGCTGGCGCCCAGCATGACCCGCCGGTCCGCGGGGCTCTTGCCCTGGGTAAAGCGGGGGATGAGCGTGTTCTGGACGTGATAGAGGGGCTCGAACAGGTAGAAGACGTCCAGGTGCTGGTTGAAGAGCTGGCCCACGAAGGAGGAGCCGCTGCGCGTGGTGGCCAGGATGAGGATGTGGGTCTTGCGCGAGAGGTTGTAGGCGAAGGTGGGGCCCTCCTCGCAAAGCCGCTCGGCCAGCCCCGCCTCCGCCAGCCCCGGGCAGGTGTGGAAGGACTTGGCGGTGAAGGTGCGAATGGCGGTGTACTGTATGGCGATGGAGGCCAGGGCAAGGAGGAGGACGGCCTTCCAGGAACATTGCATGGCTAGGCACCTTCATGGGGCTGCTTCTCCACCATGCGAGGTCTGCGGGCAAAGGTGGGCGGCATTCAGGGAGCAGCCTGCCGCGGGATGCATCACTGCGCCAGGGGCCCCAGCCTGCTCCCTTGGACGGGCTGGTCTCCAGGGGGTCCCCAGACCTACGGGATTCCCTGCCCGATGCTCATACATGCGCCTAAGGACTGAGCAGCTTCTAAGCTAGACTTTACATTCTCTGGGGACTCCTGGGAGCTTCTGGGACCGAACAAATTGACTCCCCACATGCAGAGTTTAACGAATGCTGCAGGGGACTTCCATCATGAACCTGGAGTTCCTTAGTGGGGCCCCACTGTGCAAGAAGCTAACTTCCCCAGCTCACACACTCAGGGGCCCAGCAGTTCCTGCCTCGAGCCATTCTCCTGCCACTGCCTGTCACCCCTGCCAGCACCTCTGGGGCCCACCTGCATCTTCCACCCCCACGAGCAGGCACCAGGTTCCCCACTGGGCATCTTTCCGCCATCCCCTGCCCACCCCAGGAGGAAAAAGAGCTCCTGTCAGATGCACACCATGAGGATCCGTGCACTGGGCCAGGAGAGGGGGACAACTTGTCAAGCCCACCACACCAACTTAGGGGTGCAGGTGACCAGTTACCCAGATGAGGACTTCTGGGACCCCCACGGTCAACGAGAGTCAACTGGCCCAGAGCAGAGAAAGGTCCAGGGGCTGCTGAAAAGCATCCTTTCCCAGGCCCCAAGCACCCTCCAGGTTTGCTCCTGGCCACTGGGGCAAGGGGCAGGTGGGGGGCAGATGACCCCCACTGACAACAGAGTGAACTGGCTCCTGGGGGGGGGGGCGGGGAGGGGCCCACCCCAGCTAGTCCTCAAGGGCCTCCACCGTTCAGCTCTCAGCTCTCTGCCCACAGAGCAGAATCTGCCACATATGACCCAGCAATGGCCCCAGAGAACCAGGCAGGATGGAGAGAAGACGAGGGGGTGCAGCAGAAGGGGCATCTCAAGGAATGGAGAAAGCAAAGGTGGGGGCAGGGCAGGGGGGCAGGGGCAGGAGAGCAGGGAAGGTCCAGAGCAAGGTGCCAGCCTGAGCATCTGGAAGTCGCTCCCAAGAGAGGCTGGCTCAGCTCCCGGGCCCTGGCGGAGGGCTGGGGCTGCTCCCAGAGTGAAGGCAGGAAGGGCTCCACCACTCACCAAAGAGGGGCTGCTCCGAGCTGGGGAGTCCGCAGCTGCCAGGTCTCCTGGCCTAGCTGGCAGTCCCAGCCTGTGCAGAGGCCCTGTGAGCAATAGACTGTAGAGAGAAAGGGAGGGGAAGCGTTCTGAGGGGGGGGAGGTCGGTGTGTCAACATCGCCCTTCCCACCCCTTCCCTCCTATGTCCTGTGTCCTCACAGACTGCCCCCCCCAGGGCCGGCTGACAAGGGCCCTGGTTCCTCTCCCAGATCTATCACTGATTCAGGGCTCCAGCTATCCCAGGGCCACCTTTTATCCCCTGGGATCTAGCCCCCTGACTCCTGAGCCCTCCACCCACCTCCCCCACCCCCTACCCATCCCTTCCTGGCAGGTCCGAGTCCCTCACACCAGGACCCAGTGGGCAGGGAGCTGGCAAGCCTGCACCCCCAGCTGACCAAGAGTTGGTGCCCCACACAGGCAACCACCCCGGGGAGGACCCCGCACACCCACCACCCAAGGGTGTTGCAAAGAAACCTACTGGCCACAAATACCTTGAGGCCTCCCTAGCTCGGTTCAGCTCTGGTGACCAGACTGACCCAACCAGACAGTGCTCGGCACCCAACCGTGGAACGGTGTCCGTCAAAGTTATTCCAGAAAACTAGGCCGGAGCACAGCCCCGACTGGCCCTGCATTTCAAATCAACAGAGCAGCCTGACCCTTCAAAATTTGACTTTCTCAGTGACTCCCCAAGAGGGGTTCGGTGGAAGTCAGCAAGGCAGAGGGGCTCACCCCAGACCTCCAGGTGGAAATGGCAGTTCCGTGTAGAAAGCCCAGACACCGACGCCCGCTCGGAAGGGACAGCTGGGGCGGGAGGCTCTTCTTCCAACCACACCAGAGAGGAGAACGGCTACCTAAAACTCAAAGCGAAAGTGGACCAGGGAGCATTCCTGACTTCGATGCTGTCCACGCATTCTAAGTTAAAACACCAAGACCGTAGCATTTTTTCGGTTAGCATCCGTCGAGTACTTCCTAAGCCCTTTACCTGCATTCGCTCATTTATTCCTCACAGGAGCTTCATGTGGAAGCCAGGATTAGCTCCATTTCACAGGCGAGGAAGCTGAGGCACAGAGAGTGGGGTGACCTGCCTGAGCTCACATGCTTGGTTTAACGCACATCTCACAGGTTCCCCAGAGCCCACGCTCTTTCCCTCTGAGGAGATTTGACCTTGTTCCTCCAGCTTACATGCACTTGGCCTTCAAACATGCATTCGATTAATGTCCCGGGCCTGTGTGTAAATTGGCAAGAGAGAGACCAGGTATTACAAGGGTACAGACGATCTGTAGTGTAACACCTCCAGATCCTTCCCTTTGCTGTCTGGCCTTGTTGATCAAGGTCTTGTTGATCAAGGCTCATGGCTGAGGGGATAAACTTGTGCTTTGTGAATATTCTTCCCACATCCCGCTATTTGGCGTGACTCCTTCGTGGTTCGTGGATCCTCACTTCCCAAACCCGCTGTGCTGCCTGGCTCAGCCAACTCCGAACACCACGCTATTCCTTACAGCCTCCTCTGGGAGGTCAGGGTTCTCACTCCCATTTTTTAGATGGAGAAATTGAGGCTCACAGACTAAGCAAATGTGCAGAAGCAAATAAGGAATAGCAGAGACTCGAATCCCTCTGTGTCAGACTCTTAGGCCAGTGTTCTGGCCCCTTTACCATCAGCTTAGCGAAGAAGAAACAGAGCTGAAGCAGTCTGGTTGCCTCTGGAAGGGGCGCAGAGCTTGAGCTGAGATGACAGTGAGCCAGCTGAGGCTCTGGATCCTAGGAGTCCTATTTTAAGTCTGAAACTCCACTCAGTACCTACAGGGAAGAGTACCATGTCACCAGGTGGCAGTAAATATGGGAAGGACACAGTCTAGACTCTCGGGAACCTCAGAGAAAACCAGAGCCCTGACCACACCCCTCATCCCACCCCTACCTCACCCCAGGGCCACAGAGAATGCTGACTTCATCAAAAGGGTTCGATGAGGTGACCAGAGAAAACTGCCTGTCTGCATTAAATTAGATTCTCCTGCAAAATGCAGGCCCACCCTGCCTAAGTGCCCCAAAACAAATGCCTCTAAAGACAGGTAGGGAATACCATTAATAATAGTGTAGGTAATATTTTTAAGTTATTTAAGTAAGGGTCTACAGTTGCAACGCCCCAATGCACATCATTAGGATGGACTCTCTTTGTACTTACTCATAAAGATCTGTCAGATATCGAGCATGATCCAGGCACCGTTCTAGGAATTATGGGGGCGGAGGGAACATGAAGGAAGCAAGCACTTACTGGGCATTCATGATGTTTATCCCAGGGGGGATCACAGATTAGGGTACAAGGTGGAGTGAAAAACACCTCTCGCCCTCACACTAACCCTGTGTGGTTGATGTTGTCATATCCCCATTTTACAGATAAGGAAGCTGAGGCTCTGCAAGGTTAGATGAATTTCCCCAGCTCACACTCCTAGTAAGGGGTACAGCCAAGATTCCAGCCCAGGCAGCGTGCTCTGGAGGCCATGCTTGAATCCTCCTCCTTGACCCACTACATTTCATCCCCTTTGGTCTCCACTGAGATGGGAAACAGAAGGCTGAAAGAGATTTCACTTAACTCAAAGATTCTGGTACCAAAAGGAGAATTCACCCATCCAGGGGAGCATTTAAGTTTCTCTCCCTACCACCTCTCCCCACCCCAGCCCAGAGAAACTTTTAAGGCCAGGATTCCAAACTGCTGCCTTGGCTAATAAATCAGGAGTAACTGAAGAATCTCGATGGTATAAATCCCTAAGAAAGTGGGACTCGGGTTCACAAGGTATAGTCTGAGCATCCACGAGGGGACTGTGTCCAAAGGCCCAGCCACAGGCCATCCCCCTGCCTCCCAGGAGGGCAAAGCGAGGGCATGGGAACAGGAAGACGAAGAAAGTCAGACCCTCCTAGAAATGCCGCCCCCCTCTCCCACCAGCCTGGCAGAGCTGGGCTCAGGACTGGCCAAGCTTCCTTGGTATGCTGGAGGCATCTGCCCTGGAAACCAGAGGCCCCAGGGCCAGGTCCCAATGTTCCCAGGGGAGCTCTGGCCACTGCAAGGAACTCTTCAATGCCCTTGTCCTCCAAGCCAACCTGCAAGCCCCACGGCCCCTCCCTGGGCTTTGAGCAGCCTTTGGCATGACCTTCCTCCATCTCTGGGTAGTCAACATCCAGACAAGCCTTAGACAGAGGAGCCCAGAATCTGTAACTTGTGTTGGAAGGCCGGGGAGTTGGTGAACTCCCAGCAGAAAGCTCAGATTTCAGTGTCAGCCACGTTCAGATTAGGGCACAGGGTGGGAGTGAAAAACACCTCCCCACTGGAGAACTGGAATTCAGACCTCAGGGCTCAAGCCATGGAACCACACCCACCCGGATATCACTTAGCAGGTGTGTGGACCTGGATTCACTAGCGGTCTCTGAGCCTCAGTTTCCCGACCCATAAAATGGGTATAACCATAGTAGCGGTTGCAAGAATTTAAAGAATTTGAGGCATTTAGTCAATGCCGGGCATAGAATACGACACAGCCTCCTGCTTGGGACATGGGCTCTGGCAAAAGCCCCACTGATGGCCAGGTTTCTGAATCTCTCCGGGCCTCTGTTTTCTCACCTGAAAAATGGGGATCATTTTAACATTGTGAGGACTCACATTTAACATTGTGAGGACTAATTAACACAGTGCCCGGCATAAAGTAAGCACTCGATAAATGTACACGACCGTTATCATCATTAAATGTCTTGTCCGCTTTGTGTCTCGCGTAAGTACCTGAGAACAGATCTCACCGACTCTGACAGTGAGACAGACCCTCCTCCTGGCTGCGGTGCCCAGACCTCCGCCTGGCAGGCTTCTGCTCACTGCCCCTTCTTCCTTCCGCTCCTCTCCCAGCCTGAGAACTTTCTGCAGCTGAGCCACCGCAGCGGCTTGCCTGCTGCCCTCTAGTGGCCACATCCTGCAGTACAGCCTCTTAGCCCTGCGTTCTTGGCTGGGTTCGGAATTCGGGGCCTCTAGCTGTGGCCTCGTGTGAGGATTCAGCCAGCGGAGGTGATGTTGCAGGATGCCTTGAGGTGTGGTGATGACACCCCCACCCGAGTTGTGGCCTCTGCTCTGTGCACCCTCTCTTCTTCACCCACACGCCAAGAGGCAAGCAGCAACACGCAGCCTCACCTCATCCAGAAGGCCCGTCCTCCCAGTCTCATTCCTCATCCCAGAGGAAGGAACACTGAACTTAACATCACAGGCAGGAACGGCCTCTGCTTTCTCTGGCTGGGTGACCTTGGACTCATCCCCTGGCCCCTCTGTGCCTCGATATTTCCATAGATCCAGCTACTCTAAGGGCCTCCAAGCTCTGACCACTGGGGTTCTCTGGTCCCAGGAAGGCACCATGCTCCATTTTCAGAGTCAGGACCCCCCTCACTGCTGGCAGGGGGATGCTCCTTTGGGAGCGGGAAAGCCCCAGTCATCCTCCAACAAGATAGCTGGGCTGGCAGCTGGGCCCCATCCCCTCAGCCCAGTCCACGGCAGCCCCCATGGGGCCCAAGAGCCAAGGGGCTCCGCCCTCTGCTGAGTTAGCCTCCCCCCTCCCCCCAGCCTCAGCTTCCACTCTATAAAACCCCATCCAACCCAGAGCTGTGGCTTTGGCCTTTTCTGGGCCACAGGCCCCTTGGAAAGACATGGTCCCTCTTTCCAGAAAGATTCATTTGTATCTACAACTTTACACACAATCAGAAGGCTCCTGGACCCCCTAAAGCCCACCCATGGGCACCTCAGAGGCTTCAACCCCTTTACGAGCAGTATTCTCCCCTGCCCTAGGATTTTCTTTTCAACTGTCCGTTCCAGGGAAGCCTCTACAGATTTGTATACACTGAATGCAGAGCCATCGCCCAAGATAAAAAAGCTAGAGCCAGAAAATACATGTGCAAGGGTAGGTTGCTACTTCTTGTTTTTAAAAAGGGGATGCGTGTGGGGGGGAGTATTTATATACATGCATATACAACCACTGATCTGGCAACCCCAGCTGCCCCGGTGGGAGGGGCGAGGAGACCGCGGTGGGAGGAAGGCAGCTCACACTGAGCCTCTCAGTTCCATTTGAGTTTATTAACTTTCTGGGAGAGAGCAAAGCCACCCCATGCAAGACCTGGAGGGGTGGGGCACTGAAATCACACTGGCAACTCACTGTGCCTCCTAATCTGCCCCCCAGGGCACTGCCAGCTGGCTCTCCCCTCCCCCACTTCCAAGGCACCAGGGTCAAAGTCACTACCTTTCGGCCACAATTGGGCTCTGTCTGCTCAGGCAGGTGGCGAAGGACAGCAGTCAGTGGGTGCTGCCGAGAAAGACAGGGCAGGAGCTGAAAAAGAGGGAGACCTCCCAGGGGACGTGGGGCTTCGGAGAGGAACGGAAGCCTGAGTTGGGGAAATGACTCCCCTCCCCACTTTTTCTTCCTAAAAACAGCTTGTGGAACTCTGAGGAGATAGGGAGGGCAAAGAATAAAGATCCTGAACATGAGATTTCCAACCAGCCTCAGGAGCCAGTACGGAGGGGCCCTAGGCCCCGGAGCCCCAGGAACTGGAACAAGGGGCAGGGGGAACAGGATGGGGAGGAAGGAGTTGGCAAACAGGCCTCTGGGAGAGACTGCGGAAAGGAAGTGCTTAATCCCTGGGTCTGCGGTAAGCGGTAGCCAATGCTGACCCACCAGAGATGTTTGTTTAGTTAAAGCCAAAACATATAAAACAGCAAGGTTTTTTTTTTCTTCCTTAAAAAAAAAATAGTGAGGTAAGTGAAAAGGGTATGAAAGTGCGAAAGAACTAGAAGCCAGATTAGCATACAAGAGCCAAGACACTTCTGGGCTACCCAGATGGATGAGAGCTTCCTGGTGGCCAACGGGAAAAGGGAAATATTTCATTTCATGTTCCATAGGATCCATGAGATGAGAATTACACCATCTGCTCAAGAGATGCCCAGCTATTCCTGGTACTGAATCCAGCAAAAGATTTCTCCCGAGGGGTCTCCTAGAGAGAACCCTGAGCACAGCCTGCCATTCTCAACAGCTCGTACCTAATAAGCCCGAGGACAAGTTTCATGGGGCTGTGTTCCAGAACATCCTTCAAGGTGAGCGGTATGCCAGCACATAATTCAGCCAGTGCAACCTTCCAGGGAAGGAGATCCCATGGGGTCCAGAATCAGCCTCTGTGGTCTGGGTCAGCCCAGGGGAGATAGGAGGTAATAGTACTTCCCTTTGGGGTGATGCCCCCACAAGTTGAAACACTGGGAGGCCTGCGGACCTTCTCCCCAGAATCTGCACCAACACAAACAGGGTGTTTGTATACAGTCTTTAGAGTCCCCGGGCCCTGTATCTACCCACGGACCCCATAGGCAGAACCCATAGTTCCTTCAGGCACCTTGAGTGGGGCAAGTTCTCACAGTCATGGTTCCAGAAAGTGACTGACTGTCCACCAACTTTTCACCCTCAGCAGAGACACTCAGCTGCCTCTTAGGAGCTCTGGTATCTCCAGAGCAGATCCCTCTGATGTCCACACATAATGACATCGGAGACCCCCTGGGTGCCTCAAGCGTCCTTGAAAAGTTACCCACAGGTGTAACTGGGTGGTATTTGGGCATCCCAGCTGTGGGGCCGGACAGGCCTGGGTTTGAACCCCACTGCTACGGCTTGATGGCTACGAGACCCCGAGCGCGGCACGTAACTTCTGTAGACCTCAGTTGCCCTTATCTGTGAAATGGGAAAGGTAGTCACAGAACCTTCCAAATATTTGGGTTGTGAGACAGCCAAGAAACATCAAGAACCTAGCACAGTGCTGGGCACAGAGCACGTGCTCATTAAGTAAGAACCAGGAGTGTGATTTTCAAGGGCTACTCAAGCCTACAGACCAGCTGTAATGGACTGAAAATGTTTAAGAAGTGAAAACAGATGCCCCAGCCTCCTCCACCGAAGCTCGAACAGCCTGTGTGGTTGGAGACACTTGTTGTCAGGGTGGCAGAGACTGCCTCGTGGTCCTGCTGTGGGCCCAGCGGGTTGGCGGGGTCCTGGCCCAACCCGAGGAAAGTTTTCCCCAGCAGTGGGGAGAGTGACTGACCTCCTGGCACAAGGCCCCAGTGTGCCCGGCGCCTCACAGAGGAGGAGGACGGATGAGTCAGAAGGGCCCGGTTCCCTCAGGCCGGTCCTACCACAGCCTGGCCTCTGGTAGGCGGACCCTTCTGCCCGACACTGGGCGGAAAGGCCCCGGTTTCCTGTCCCCCACCACCACCACCCCTCCTCAGCAGCCACAGCCAGAGCCCGAATAGTACCGAGGCTCCACCCCCTGGATACCGGGGCTTCGGCCCATCCTCCCAGCTTCTGCTGGAGGGGCTGGCAGGGGGGCCATCTGTCCCCAGACGCTGGAGTCTCCAGCCTCCTCCCCAGCTAGCCCCTGGGGAGGAGGGCTGGGCGTGGGAGAGGCTCACCTGAGCCTCTCACACAGGATGGAGGGGGCTGTGGGAGCCCATACCCAGAGATGACCCCGGTCCTGGCTCACCTCAAGTGGGTGCTACCCACAGGTACCGCTGCCATCCTCCACAGATGAGGAGCGGTGAGGCACGGACAAATGAGGGGGTCGATCTAGGTGTGTGCAGCTGGTCTGTGGTGGGGTCCAGATTCGAGCTCAGCTCTAAGGACCCCCAAGCTCTGGCCCTAACCACAATACATAAGCTCCCAGGCCATGCCCGCGAGTAAGAGCATCACCCTGCACCTGGAGACCAGGGCAGGGACAGGGTGTGCCAGGGCCAAGATGGCCGCCAGGGTCCCGGGCATCCACCCTGACCCAGACCTGGGCTCACCCAACACCAGTTGACCATCTCTAAGGATCAGGTCCCCGGGGTGTCAGCCGGAGGGATGGGGGCTGCCTAAGGCCCTGCCTGCCTGATTCCCTGGCACCCCAAACAGGTCTGTGCCACCTCACCACTTCCCAGGGGGCTCTCCCTCCCCAGCTGAAGGACAAAAAGGAAGATTATCATAAGGACTGGAAGAGGTCATGGGGGTGGATACAGCTGGTGTAGTATGACACCTGACAGACAGCAGCCGAAGCACTCCGGCTAGGCAAGGAGAGGCAAGTGTACTTTCTTGGCCAGAAAGCCCAGGAACGTCCAAATCCTACGTAGCCAAGAGGATGCCAAAGAATGTCTTTATTCCCACCTGGCCTGAAATGGTCTAGAATGGGGTTTAGGGTTTGGGCTCAAGACCAGGATACGGTCTCCCTGCTCCCTAAGCCTAGAACTTACCACTAGCCCACAGCTGGTTGCACGGATGCCCCTGTGCCAGGATGCTGGTGAGGCTCACCCTGTCACCCTTCTGTCTCCTGGACAAGTGTAGGGAGAGCCACCCACTGGGAGCCATCCATCTGAAATCGGATGAGTGTCTCTGCCCCCACATCAACAGGTACCTCGATAGGACGTGATGGCTGCTCGCTGAAGGCCTAGCCCCATGTGATGAAACCTTTCGTGCCCCACTTTATTGGACCCTCTCTCCAAGCTTGGGAGTCAGAACTACAGCCGCATCCATGACACAAGTGACAGACAGAGGCTCCCAGAAGTTAAGTGACTTGCTCCAACAGCTCAGAAGTGGCGGGGTGGGGAACTAGACTCAGGCTATGGGGCATTGTGTGTGAGGTCCTCAACCTCTCCCAGGTTCTCCCTGAAGGCTTCCACTCCTTCCCCCTCTGACCTCCTAAAATCCTCTGTCTGAACCACCCCAATTAGCTCTCCTGACCCTATACTTACGCCTTGAGTGGTTAGGAGCACCATAGCAGCAGGCAAAACCCAGACCTTGGGTCCCGGACAGCCTTACGCTCTCTGATCCCCAGGTACCCGGGGAGGGGAGCCCACACCACCTCCCAGGGCCGGGGAGGGGCTTAAATGAGATCTGAGCATAGTGCCTGGTTCAAGGCAGTCACTCAATTAATGATACCTTCAGAATGCTGGCTGCAGACTTGTCTGTCTGTCTTGCTCATCTGCCTGCAGAATCCCTGAGCGAGAGCAGCATGCCCTCCATCCATCCCCACCCTCGCTACCCAGCCTGGGGCCTGCAGCACGTAGCCCGGACTTGATGGGCACGAAACAACTCGCCGCCCCCAGCAGAGACCCAGAGAAGGGAAGAGCTGTGCCCTGCCCCTCATCCCAGAGGAGGAGACGAGCTCTCCCCACAATTCCCAGCTCCCAGCCTTCCAGCTCTAATCAAGGAGCAAACACAAAGAGGGAATCTCTAAACATTTAGAAAACGCGGGAACTCTGTGCCCCCACGTGGCGCCGTGAGGATTTATAAAGAACAAATCACACCTGACAAACTTGATAGCTTTCTTGATAGAATTACAAGACCGGTAGATGAAGGAAATGCAGGCAGGGTAATATATCTTGATTTTTAGCAAAGCATTTGATACAGCGCCTCAAGTAATCTTACAAAATTAATTCAAACAGACTTGGCCCTAAGCACTTGTCATGGGGCCGAAAGCAGGAGGGGGCAGGTCCCAAGGGTCCTGAGTGGAGGAGGCGAGCCCA